CCCTCCCCGCTGGACGCTGACCCGGGGTCTTCTTATTGGTCGCTTCTCGTGGCGAGCCCGGATTGGGCCACATGGGGACGGGGTGGGTCCCTCCGACCAATAGCGGCGCGAGGGCTGGCGCGGGGCGGGATCCCGCCCGGCACCGTCAAGTAGCCCCGGGAACTGCCGGCACCGCGGAGCGGTGGGCGGCCGCAGAGGCCGAGCGCTGCGCCGGTTCCCGCCGGACCTCGGCCAGTGCTCGCGCGGCCGCGTCCTGCGCAACGCTGCCCGCCTCGGCCCGCCATGCGCCCCCCTACCCCGGCCGCGCTGGGGCTGCTGCTGCTGCTGCTGCTGCTGCCGCCGCCGCCTGGTGAGACCGCCAAGAAGGCGACGCCCTGCAACCGCTGCCGGGAGCTGGTGGACAAGTTCAACCAGGTGGGCCGGTCACCCCACGCAGACGCGGGGTCGGGGTCGGGGTCGTCCCGCGGTGGACCGGGGTCCTGGACCCAGGGTAAGCCTGCGGTGGATCGGGGTCGGCCCACAACGGTCGAGGGTCACCCCGAGATGGGCCGGAGTCACTCCACCATGGACCTGAGGTCAACCCACAACGGACAAGGATCAAGGATCCAGGGTAACCCCTCCGTGGGCCGGGGTCACCCCGAGTGGGCCGGAGTCACTCCACCATGGACCTGAGGTCAGCCCACAAGGGACCAGGGTCAGGGACCCAGGGTAGCCCAGAGATGGGCCAGAGTCAGTCCTGACACGGACGTCACCCTCGTGATGGACCCAGGATCACCCACGCAATGAATGGCGGCGACCTGTCAGGGGGCTTGGGGAGTCACCGTGATGGACTAGGGTTGCTCTCCCATCGGACGTGGGTGGGGGCAGCGGCACCGAGCCCTGTCTCCCCCGCGTCCCCGCAGGGCATGGTGGACACCGCAAAGAAGAACTTTGGCGGCGGGAACACGGCTTGGGAGGAAAAGGCGCTATCCAAGTACGAATTCAGGTGGGTGCCACCACCCCTGCTCTGGGCAGCCCAGCTTCGGTACTTGACATGTTCCTGTGAACGTTGTCACCCGCGTTGATGACAAATGCACGGAAGGGTCCCTCCCATAGCGTCACCCGTCTGCGGGCCCCTACGTGGCCTTTTGGCTTCCACACTTATCCCCGTATCCGGTCCGCACACAGTGGACTGGGTGGTCTCTTAATGATGCACCCTGGACGGTGGGTCCCCCCACGTGAAATGTCACTGGCTTCCCCTGCTGGTGGGGTGAGCCCTCTCTCCTCCACCCAGGACTCCAGCCCCCAACTTCAGGGGCTCCCCTGGTGGGCCCCACACCTGCCACACGACCACCTGTTCTCTGAGTTTCATTCATCACAGGGCACCCAGCCCACCTGATGTGCCTGCTGAGGGTCTTTTCCTACTGAAGTGCCACCGTCCTTCCCGCCTCGCGCCAAGTGGGGATGTCCTGTGGGATGGACACTGACGCCTCGACTCGCCTTCTCGCTCTGGTGCTGATGGGCTTGTGTTTCAGCGAGGTCCGGCTGCTGGAGATCATGGAGAGCCTGTGTGGCAGCAGTGACTTCGACTGTCACAGCATGCTGGAGGAGCACGAGGAACGCCTGGAGGCCTGGTGGCTGAGGCTGTGAGTGTCCCACACCCCTGCACCCCCCACACCCCTGCACCCCCCACCCTGTTCCCCAGCCCCAGGGCCCCCCCATTCCCCCAGCCCTGCACCCCTACACCCAGTGCATCTCCCGCACCCCCCGCCCCGTTACCGGGCCCACCTCGCGTGCCCCAGCCTGGCTCTCCGGCCCCCCCACCCCAACCCTGCTCTCCCTGGGTGTTCGTGGAAACACACGAGTGGCTTCTTACTTTTTAACTTATAATTTTGAAATAATCTCAGACCTCCAAGAGTTTCCACACGCTCGTCTTCTCTCTTGTCCGCACGTTAGCATCTCTTATTACCTTAACACGATAATCCCGGTGAGGTCCGTAACTGGAGAAGTCCGTCCCGCCTGCACTGGTGTTTCCCTGACGTTACGATACCCTGGAGCACACGTCGTCATAAACTATGATTTTGTGTTGAAGAAATCTGTCACGTGAGCTTTAACGAACGCGTTTTCAATTCCTCAGGAAGAAGGAGTATCCTGACTTATTTGAATGGTTTTGTGTGAAAACC